ATTTATTTATTTATTTTATTTTATTTTATTTTTTTATTAATTTAAAAATTAAAAATTTAACTTACCAGCAAAATCGAGACCACCGAGCTGGGAATACCAACCATTAGCAGACCAACACCACGAAGCAATAAAATCATATACAAGTGTGGTCCATATAAAGATGAATATTAGGGTAGGAATCAGTCTCGTACGTTCGGCTGGTTTGGTTTTAATGGTGGTTCTGCAACAGCGGCAAATGTAAGATCATTTTTTAAGTCATGAATTAATTATTATTTTAAAAATTACTTTAATTTGACATGACACATATATATATCTCAGATACGTGCCGTTCTTGCATGTACAGTAACTAATTTGGCCGCGTCATCAGGTGGACTCACATGGATGATAATGGATTACAGAATGGAACATAAATTATCAGCACTTGGATTCTGTTCAGGAGCTGTCGCTGGTTTGGTTGCAATAACTCCAGGATCTGGTTATGTTGCACCTCATTCCGCTATTGTTTTTGGTATTTGCGGTGGAGCCATTTGTAATTTGGCAGTTAAATTGAAACATTTTTTTGATTACGATGATGCTTTAGATGTATTTGCAGTTCATGGTATTGGTGGATTAGTTGGGAATCTTCTTACCGGTGTATTTGCAGATAAAAATATTGCTGCACTTAGTGGTGAAGAAATTTTGGGAGGTGTTATAAATCACAATTATATTCAAATAGCCAAACAATTAACATCATCAGGAGCAGGGTTTATGTACTCTTTTATAATGACTTATCTCATTCTTTTAATTTTGAATAAGATCCCGTTCCTTAGTATACGTTTAAATGATGAACAAGAAGCATGCGGCACGGACGAATCAGATCATGGTGAACCAGCATATTATTTTGTCGAAAGAATCGAAAAAACAATTCATACTAACTAACCTCCTTAATACTATAAATGGAAATGACTTTGACACAAGTACGCTAAAGATTAGATTATAGCAGATCCAAAATGCGGCATATACAAATATCTCAATTCTTGTCCAATTACCAGTACTTCCTATCAAAGAACAACGCACTTTAACCGGATTTGCGATAAGTCAATTACATCTAGCACAAATACAATATCAAAGGCCCCTGAATCCTTGGCCGAAACCATTACAAAATAGGGGAAACAGTATTAATACAATACTTCAAAATATAAGCAATGCTCCT